TGATATGAGGTATGGCGGTGATCCAGATGCTGGTATGAGGTATGGTGGTGATCAGAACGCTGGTATGGGGTATGGCAATGACCAGGACACTGGTATGAGGTATGGCAGTGATCAGGATGCTGGTATGGAGTATTGCAGTGATCAGGACACTGGTATGACATATGGGGTGATCAAGATGCTAGTATGGGGCATGGCAGTGATCAGGATGCTGGTATGGTGGTGATCAGGGTGCTGGTATAGGGCATGGTGGTGATCAGGATGCTGTATGGGGTATGCTGGTGATCCAGATGCTGGTATGGGGTATGGTGATGATCAGGGCACTGGTATGGTGTATGGTAGTGATCATGGTGCTGGTATGGTGTTTGGTGGTGATCAGGGTGTTAGTATGAAATATGTCGGTGATCATGGCATTATTTTGGGGTATGGTGGTGATCAGGACACTGGTATGGTGGTGATCAAGACATTGGTATGGTGTATGGGGGTGTTTTTGTGTTCACTTGTACAGGTTAAAGGGGCTGGCTGCATTCTTTATTATTGATATTGTGCGGCAGTAATCAGGGACACACGGGCAATAAACTGGGGCACTGGGATGGCTGCACTACAGTTTGTGAGTGTACATGCAGCCTGACAGGCTGCTGTACACTCACAGGCTGAAGGAATGCTTTTCTCTGCTCTCACACTTTAACTTTAGTGTTTACAATGTGAGTGCTGTGATTGGTCACAGCAATCACATGGTAAAAACAACATGTGATTGCTCGGACACAGCGGTAATGTTAGCCGATGTGTCCTGGCGATATAACGATCGCTGGGCTGCCGGGTGCGTTAGCCCCGCATTGGCAAAGCTTCCCATCTGCCATTTATGTGCAATGGGTGGACAGGAAGTGGTTAAGCAATTTTTTAATGCAAAGTTTGCATAGTACATCCATTACTGTCTCATTTTCTATTTAATGTTCAGTGTTTGAACATACAGAGACAAAGCTTGATAAATAGAGGCCCCCTTCTCAGAAATGAAAGATGGACTTGCTCTCCCTACTCTTTGAACCTCCCCATATCGAGGTCCCAAGTATGTCCCTGCATACTCTCCTTACAGTTAACACATTAAGCCATGACAGAAAAATGCCACACAGTGCATCTTCAACACTCCCCATTTTAGTATCCACTCCCATATAGATTAATCCCAGTTCCTTTAGATTATAGAAGGAATGTATTTTTTATCAACTATGAAAGGAGTATTAGTCTAGATATCCCCCTCCTTATTCACTCTATCTAAAGATGGCCATACATGGATCGCAATTTGGTTGGTTTGACAGGGACTGACCGAATTTCAATCCAAGTATGGGTACGGTGGTTGTAAAGAAGTCCATATACCAACTGACTTCTGTACACCTTACCGCTGTCAGAATACAATAGCTCAGTGGGTAGGATTCCCCCATCCACATCGAACGTGTGGATGGGGGACTTGAGTCAGTTTTTTTTCATTCAACTCGCTTTAGAACTACCTGCCTTACCACGTGGATACCCTTCACATCCTTCCCTTTCCCTCTTCCTCCTTTCCTCTCCTATTTTATCCTCCCCCTTTCTTTTTCCTCTTATCCTTCAAAAAGAACCCTTGCAGATAGGATACCTTGATAGATCTGATTATCGTATAGATCACTTCCTAAAATTTTTTTATTTCTTCTTCAAAAACATGCAAAGCTACAGCCTTCCATGGCTTATCCCTTAGCTTTTACAAATCTTTTCAGGAGTCTCTCTTCTTTCTACAGACATTCAAATCTATTTCACTGGGAAACTGCCCCCCACCAGACACTCTGGGGGCCCAAATAGCAGTAAAGCCAAAAACAAACAAAGATCCTGGTCAGTGTAGTAGCTACCAGCCTGCAGCCTTACTCACTGAGGGCCTTTTTTTCTAAATTTCTGGCTAGCAGACTTCACCCATTTATCCCTCAGATAGTGCACAGAGACCCAGTGGGATTGCAACAAGAGGCCAGAGATAACACGACTGGGGTCATTGACCTTATCCACTTTGCCTGGTTGAATAGAACCCCTCTATCTATCTACGAACATGGAAAAAAGCCTTCGAGTGGATGGATTAGCAGTTTTTAGAACTGACACTGCTCCATATCGAATTGACAACTCACATGATGGAAATGGCTTACCGGCCATAGGCCACCCCATAGGCAAGGGTCAGGATCAACAAATCCAGATTGAATTACTTTTCCTTTACTAATGGGATATGTCTGGGCTGCTCCCTGTCCCCATTAACATCTATCGTAACCCTCAAGTCTCCCTTATGTATAAGGGCACACCCTTCCACACTGATACAGCTTCTAGATCTCATCCAGATGTTTCCCATACATATTCCTCCAGCTTACATGATGATCCAAAACCTGCTCTCAGCCACCAATAGAAATGATGTTTCACCCTATGCCATTAACCACTTCAAGTCTGGACACTTTTACCCCCTTCCTGTCCAGGCCAATTTTCAGCTTTCAGTGCTATCACACTTTGAATGACAATTGAGCGGTCATGCAACGTTGTACCAATATGAATTGTTTAGCATTTTTTTGAGACAGATAAAGCTTTATTTTTGTGGTATTTATTCACCAGTGGGATTTTTTTTTTTTTTTGCGCGCTATGTAAATGAAAAAGTCCAAAAATTTTGAAAAAAAAATGTTTTTCTTATAAAATTTTGCAAATAAACAACATTTAATCATAATCTTGGCCAAAATTTATTCCGTTATCTTTTTAGTAAAAAAAAAATAAATTTGCTTATAACCAAAAATTATAATTTTTAAACATTTTTTTTTTTACATTTTTATTTTATTTTTTATATTATTATTTTTTTACTGTCACCCTAGCAGTACAGTGTCACCATGGTGACACTGTACTACTTGTGGGGGGTGATGAAGATTTTTTTTTTTTTTTTTTTACACGGATTGCTTTTACACCCATAAAGGCTGTAAAAGCAATCATTTCTCCTTCTCTCTGGCTGCATTCTTGCAGCCATTGAGAACTACTGTGTGAGCTGTGATTGGTCATTCACAGATTTCACAAGTAGTAAGCAATGATGTCATCATTCACAGATTTCACAAGTAGTAAGCAATGATGTCAGAAGTGACATCTTGCTTACTACTCTGCATGTGATCACTGATTGACCAATCAGTGATCACATGATCGGAACCTTGCACAGAGGTCCCATCTGACGATTGGTGTTCCACTGTGTCCGGAGGACAAGGGCACAAGCAGGGCGGGGAGGCCCTTTATAAAACGGCCACCCGACCCTGCACTGCCACCGTCTGGCCGTTTATATACAACGGCCGGAAGGGAGGTGGTTAAAGGTCAGGCACCTCCCTTTCCTGTCACAGAGAACTCCACCACCAAGGCAAGTAGTGCGTCTTGGGCTTTTCGGCATCATGCTCCATTTCCCTTGAGAACACTCGTTGACAGCGAAACATTTCGGGTGGGGCCTAGTTGGTGATGTTATCATGTCAGCTATGCTTGGATAGTGTGGCTGTGTTTTCACCTGTGCTGCTCTGTTTTTTAATTATATTTTTATTAGTTTTACATGACAAAATACATCAAACATTTTCATACATTTACTATCAACCAATTCCATTACAAATTTTCCAAGTTACCCTTCTACCCCCCCCCCCCCCTTCCTGTCACCTCCTACTATTCCTTTACTTTATTCCTTCCTTTGTCTCTTTCCCTTCTCTTCCTCTCTGTTCCACTGTTTGGTCCTACCATCTTACTCTTCTGTCCATTAACTAGATATTTATTACTGTCCTCAGCTCTTCCTCTTTTTTACATTCCGATCAGTTAAATATGAACTACTATGTAAATTTTCTTGAATTTTTTCAATCTTATCCTCTCCTTCATGATATAATTTCTCCATCTTATATATATACTCCCCTCTATTTATCCAATCTTTTATTTTCAGGGTTTCCTGTTTCTGCCAGAATCTAGGGATCACACCTTTAGCCGCATTTAATAAATAGAATATCATCGTATTCTTATATTGTTTCACCGTTAAGTGAGAATTATAGAATAAACAAACCCAAGGATCTTTCAATACACTAATCCCCGTTATCTCCTGTATTTGTTGTATTACTCCTTGCCAACATTCTTGTATTTTAGGACACTCCCACCAAATATGTGCCATATCCCACAACCCCACCACCATAAAAGTGAATTCTCTAATCGTAAGTTATTTGCCACACTAGGGGTATTATACTACCTTGCTAAACTTTTTTTTAATTAGTTTCTAATATATTCATATCCACTGCACCATGCACTAATTTCAATATTTTCTTTTTTTCCTGTTCATTTAATTTTGTTACAAGTTTCTTTTTTTCCACGTATCCATAAACAGTGGCAGGACAGTTCCAGATAACTGTAGGGTATTATACATATACTGTACATGAGAGGCAACTTGCGTTCACATAGTATCCAGACTAAAGAGTTTTTTAGTGGCTGTAGGAGCATTGCAACAAAATGTCTTAATTGATAGTAATGCCACTCATCCAACATATAAGATATTTCTATCTTATCCTTTAAATCTAATAAAGAACTCAACTCCCCATTATCAGTGATATCGTTTAGATGTGCATTTCTATCCTTTATCCATTTACCTGCTATATTTTCTTTCCCCGTGGGGAAATATTCTGTTCCCCCCAAGTGGTAATAATAATGAATAGTACTCCCAGCCCTTTTGTTTGTGAATTCTGTCCCATATCCTAAAAACATACCCTGTTAAAATATTTGTGTTTTTAAAAAATGTTTGATGCGGTTGTGGAGGCCAATTATTCTTGTCGAATTGTGTCCTGCACAGTGTATTTTCTATCTTTATCCAACTTTTCCTCCCTGGGTTGTAAATTCAATCTGCTATTCATGAAATAATCACAGAACAATAATATCTCCTGAAATCCAGTTCATTTAGCCCCCCCATTAATAAACTGATAGGTGGCACTGATTGGCATTGATAGGTGGCACTGACTGGCACTGATGGATGACACTGAAAGGCAGCTAAGATGGGCACTGATATGTGGCATTGACGTGGCACTGATAGGCACTAGCACATGGCACTGACAGCTGGCACTGACAGGTGGCACTGCTGGGGCTACACTGATCATCAGGGCACACTGATCATCAGTGCCCTGATGATCAGTATACATGTCCCCTCCGCGGAAAGCCGATTACCGTGACAGTTCGAGAGGAGAGAAAATGCCAATGACCGGCATTTCCGTGTTTGCATGTGATCAGCTGTGATTGGACACAGCTGATCACATGACCGAGCCAACATCTTCGGCTCTTTCCGTGATCCGCTGTGTCCCAGGGACACAGCGCACCGCAGATCGCCGCGCTGCGTGCTCCCTGAGCCGCACATGCGTGGTGAGAATGGGAGGACGTCATATGACGTCCTCTCAGAATGAGAGAACCACCTTGCACCCGTCATTAGACTATATGGCTGGCGGGAGGTGGTTAACTCTTGGTTTTTTATTCACCTATATATATTTGAGTATCATCTTTTTTATGATCTGCAAAATGACCCCGAAAGATATATTGGGAGCATGTTAAATTTATACAAAATCTTTGTGACTATCACCATCTTGACCATGTTTATATGTCCTAACCACGAGAGTGATCCTATTAATAGTCTCCTCAGTTCTTCCTTCAACTCATTTATCAATGGGATGTATTTTTTCTGGTATATATTCTTTAAGGCAAGAGTTAACTTTACACCTAAGTAACTAAGTTCCTTTTCTCTCCATATAAAGGGGAAGGCTTTCTCTAAAGTCTGTTTATCTTTCTTCGAAACAATATTATTTAATATCTCACATATCGTAAGATTAATTTTCAAATTCGTTAGCTCTCCATACTGTTTAAGTTTTTAATTAAATAGGATAATGTCACTCTGGGGTTTATAATATAGAATAACATATCATCGGCATATGCCGCAACTTTATGTTCCTCATCTCCTATCCTAATTCCCTTTATATATATATATATATATATATATTCCTTCGTACAGTTGCTTAAAGCGGTTCCAAATATATTACTAGAAGTAGCGGCGAAGTGGGCATCCCTGCCTTCGTTGTACATTTTGAAGAACTGTGACAATGAGCCATTTACTTTCACTGCTGCTGATGGGGAACTATATAATTTTCTTATCCATTGCAACATTCTTGGTCCAATTCCTAATGCTTCCAGTGTGTCAAACATAAATCCCCAGTCTACCCTATCGAAGGCTTTTTCTGCATCAATCGACAACGCTAACACCGACTGGTTCTCTTACTCTTTTGCAAGAGGAGCAACGATCTTAATCTGTTGTCCCTTCCCTCCCTGGGATAAAGCCCACCTGATCTAAGTGAATCCAATCCAGCATCAACTCTTTCATCCTATTTGCCAGAACCTTTGCGTATAGTTTTGGGTCTATATTTAATAGCGATATAGGTCTATAACTGGGACACGGGGACAGGTCTTTTCCCTCTTTCGGTATTACTGTGATGTATGCCTGCAGTGACTCTTCTCTCATTTCCATCCCTCACCCAAAGCATATAGTTGCACATCATAGGTACAAGCAGTTCCTTAAATTTCCTATAATATGGCAGGGTATATCCGTCTGGCTCAGGGCTCTTTCCAGTGGGGGAACTCTTTAATGCGGCATATATTTCCTCCTGTGATATTATTTTATCTAAGGGGGAATGATAGTAATAAATAGTAATATCGCGCTCATAAATAGTGCAATTCAGCTGAACATCCATAAAAAGTCCCAAGATACATATACAAAAGAAATGCAGCGCTCTAAAATTAATATTGGAAATAGTAGACACAGTCCAGTAAAACAACAGTGCTCCTTGTTTCCCAGTGTAAATGTAGAATTTTGCACTAACCAGAACGCGCATGGGTAATGCGCATATATGTGTAAATCCTGAAGATCCTTTTCTCCACTTAAGGCTGGTCAGGTATATGGCTTGGAAGAATGGAGATCCTACGCCCTCATGTGGTGGGAAATAATCCAGCAGGTCAAAGCTATGACGATCCAGATGAACCTCCACAGGAACTGGCACAGGAATCCCAAGGGCTACAAGGATGGAAAAGCTCTCGCTACGTTCCACTTTCCACTCCGGTGTGGAAAGTGGAACGTGTAGCACAGAGCTTTTCCATCCTTGTAGCCATTGGGATTCCTGTTGCCAGTTCCTGTGGAGGTTCATCTGGATCGTCATAGCTTTGACCTGCTGGATTATTTCCCACCACATGAGGGCGTAGGATCTCCATTCTTCCAAGCCATATACCTGACCAGCCTTTAAGTGGAGAAAAGGATCTTCAGGATTTACACATATATGCGCATTACCCATGCGCGTTCTGGTTAGTGCAAAATTCTACCATTTACACTGGGAAACAAGGAGCACTGTTGTTTTACTGGACTGTGTCTACTATTTCCAATATTAATTTTAGAGCGCTGCATTTCTTTTGTATATTATTTTATCTAAGGCTGCTAATTTTTTCCTCTGGTCTTGGTAATCCATCTTCTGCTAGATAAACCTGTCTTTTTCTCCCTTTCTCCCTTGGATTCTTTCGGGTTCTTAGATTTTATTTCATATAGTTTTTACTATAATATTTGTGAAGCATTCTGGTGATTTCAGTGGTTGAAAAGACCATTTCTCCCTTCTCATCTTTCATTTTCTCTATATAATTTCTCGACTTCCTTTCACTTAACCTTCTTATTAAATATTTTTCTGGTCTTTTCCCCCACCATTATCTTTCTTTTGCCATCATATTAAAAACTTTTCTTGTTTCCTGTTCCATTAAGTCTTTTAACTCTTCTCTTTTTTGGATTATCTTCTGTTGTATCTCTAATTCTATTTTTTTTCTTGTGTAGTTGTTCTAAATCACATAATTCCCCTGTTAATTACCTTATCTTCTTTCCCCATTCCTTCTTTTTTTTCAGCCCCTATTGATAGCAGGATTCCCCACATGTATGCCTTATGTGCTTCCCAGACAGTTGCAACAGATACCCCTTCAGTCTCATTGAGTGAAAAATATAGTTCTAATTCCTTCTTTATTCTCTTCTCCATCTCTACTTCCTGTATAAGCATCTCATTCAATCTCCACATACTAGTTCTATTCCCTTCCCATCTTTAATCTCATGGTGACAGGTGCATGGTCTGATAATGACCTTACCTCAATACTGGATTTTAACACTGATTCCAGGAGTCTATGTCCTATCATTATGTAATCTAATCTTGAATACATCCCGTGTGCTGGCGAGAAGAAGGTATAATCTCTGTCTCTTGGGTGTTTAATTCTCCATATATCCATCAGCTGACACTGATGTAGCCTTTTTTTTTTTATCGACTTTAAACTGCTGCCTTCCTCTCTCTGCACTTAGGATGATGTATCCATCCAAGGATCCATGCAGAAATTCAAATCTCCAGCCACAATCAAGAAACCTTTTAAAATCCGAAAGTTTTTTCTAATAGATCCTCTAAATATTTCATTCCTAGTTCCTATTAGGGCAGTAAATATTTGCAAATGTGCATTCTATGACTTGTATTTTCTCCCTCAGAAATAGGAACCAACCTTCCTGATCTACCAATCTATCTTCCACCAGGAATCTTAAAATTTTTGCTAACCCAATTGCTACCCCTTTAGCTCATTTAATGGGTAAATCAGCATAATACCACATTGGGTAGTGATTGGAAATTAACTTAATATTTGAATCTCAAGATGTATGTGTCTCTTGGAGAAATATTGCCATCAGCGGAACGTAACTGAAGTTCCCTAAGGATCTTGTACCTTTTAGTCAGGATGTTCAGACCTTTTACATTATATGTCATGAAATTAAATCACATTCATTCCTGCTATTAATTCTCTTCCCCTTCTTTACACCTACTTAGAGAAGTGCAACTATATACAATTTGGAACAGAGGGGCATCTTCGGCCCATCTCCTTGCCCTAGAATCTGACATGGTACCTCCTACTATTGATTCCTCCTCAGGGTAGGACTCCCACACTCATCCACTCAACTATTTCCACTCCTTCGTTGAAGACTCAAGTACCCTATTATGAGCCTCCCGATGCCCTGTTTTTCCTTTCCTTCTCTCCTACCTCCCCGTTTAAAGAAGAGAGTGAGGAGAAAGAGAAAAAAGATGAGAGAGAGAGAGAAACAAAAATAAAAACAAAAACTCTCCCACTCCCTCAGCCCCGCCCACCCTCCAGAAATATCTACCAATCTTTATAAACCCAGCAGAGGTGAACTACTAATCTTGATCTTTCCATTTTGTTTTCGATCTGGTAACTAATTGCCACCTATCCTTTTCTAATTTTTCACTCTCCTTTTTCCTGTCAGTCCATCCAGGAATATGTATCAACTGTAAGTCAAGTCTTTCACAAAAAGTAATTAAGTCTTCTGTAAATCTCAATCTCGCCGATTGTCCATCTTTGCTCCCAGTCAAGCATGCTGGGAAGCCCAAGGTATACTGAATATTCTTTGTCCGCATTAACTCTAACAATGGTTTCAAAGTTCTTCTTGCCAAAGTCTTTGGTGCCATATCCGCATAAATTTGCAGGCTTGCTTCCCCGTGTTTTACTTTTGGGGTTCCACGTAGCTTCTTCCATATGTTTACCTTATCTCCATAATGGTGAAATCTCACTATCGCGTCTCTTGGGGCCTCTAGTGTCCTGCCTTGAGGGACGTTTTATCCTGTGTGCTCTATCTTCAATTGTTCTGTCACTGGTTTACCCATTATTGGGTTAAATATTTTCCTCATTTCATCCCATAGATCTTCTCCTGATTGTTTTTCAGGCAAGCCCGATTCCTCTTGGTCTTTTAATTTATATTCCAACTTCCTTTGCTCTCTACGCATTTCCTCCACCTGCGTTTCTAAATTTATCATTACTTGCGCATTTTTCTCCAATTTTTCCTCTATTTTTTCAATGCGAGATAAGACTTGTCCCACATCTTTATGTAAAACCGCCATTTCAATCTTTATGGAGTACTCCAATTTCATAAACATCTCTGCAATTTCTATTTTCGTGGGCATTTGCGAGCTTTTTCCTTGATGTTCGGATTTCCTAGGGTCTATACCACTTTCTGTATTTATGGATTCTTCGATCTGATACAGATTCTGTGCCCTAGTGACAGTCTTGATTGATCTCCATTGTTATTTCTCAACTCCTGACTTCCCCTTACTCCTTGCTGTCTCTCAGGGGTATTACCCTCTGGGCTTTTCTCATGTGGGGGCATGCATTTCTTTATTGTGCTTGATTGAGTTTTTATTCCTCCTTCCTTTGTAGATCTACTCTT